ACGTTGCGGCCAGGACCGGGAATCGAGGAGGTGGCGGTAATAGTAGGTGGTGACTTTATGAAAACGAACACGCCTCACAGCGGCACTCCATGAATTTCCCAGCCCTTCTGACAACAAAGACGACGAGCTTCTTGCCATCTCGGCGATTACCGGTGAATGCTGCGGTGGCAAGGAGCGCCCAAAAGTTACGAACTTCGTAAAAAGAATTGTGAGGCATTACGACAACACCGAGGTGTGGCTATTGTCTGGTTGCACTCTTACCATGAATAATGGGTAAACTATACCTGTGGTATTGTGACCCGCTCGGTGACCCCATCGACAAACACGTCAACAATGTCAGTTTGTGTGGGACTGATAAATTCGCGAGTAAAAAGCCGGTAAAATTTGACAGCCGCCGGGTACTGCGTGCGAACGAGATTGTGTTGAGAGGACACCGCCGAGCCTAACGTCCATAGTACCTACTCTCTTAAAAAATAGCTGAGCGTCTACTTACCCGTAAAACACCCGAAGAACCAATCTCTGCGATCTACAAAATCAGCTCAGCTAATGATGAGGTGGAACATCTGTTTAGACCTCAAAATTAAGTTTGCGCTGTGGGATCACGCAATGCAAGCATGACGCTTTGCATTGCGCAGTACACAGCTCAGACTTCATTTATAGGTCTAAACTGATGTTCCGCCTTAGCATCCGCTGAGCTGACTTTGTAGAAAGCAGGGATTAAATTTTTGAATATTTTGCAGGCAAGTAGATGCGCAGGCATTTTTTAGAGCGTAAGTTAAGCGATGGAACGGATTCCAGTTACTTTGAAATACCAAGATCTAGACATATTCACTTATAATTATCACTGGGAGTAAGACTATTCAAATGCAAAATTGCTTCAGTGGATATTTGCTGATGTCTAAAAAGCCCTTGAGAAAAAAAACGAAAATTGCCAGCTTTTTTTTACTGCGCCATTTTTAAATCAATTTTACATCAGTTGTCTTAGCTAGCAGCAATCTGTTGCAAGAGTGCAGCATAGCACTATTAAATAATCGTTAGCAGTAGAGGGATGGAACGAGCTTCCTGAAGATGCAGTATGTACCTGGCGTCAGTAGTCTCTCATTATCTGCGAAATATTGTAGAAATTCTTGCTCTCGCAGCTGAACTCGTAGGAGTGTCCCATCAGTAAACGACGTTGCAAATCCATGAAATAAATCCGTCGCAAAATCTGAGAAATGAAACGCATAGACACGTAGTTATTTCTAACAATATCCGTAGGTATCGTTATTTTATAATCCTTACGAGTTACTTTCAAACTGACATACTTATTGTTTTCTTCTGTTTTTTTTTTGTTTTTTTTCAGACCAGGGACAGCTACAGTTGCAACCGTTCTTCGTGTTGTAGCCACGCAAGTTATTTGCTAGAACTTTTTTTTTTTTTTTGCTAGCATAGTGAATATTTTGTTGATACGTTTCCGGGTATTGAACGCCGACCGTATAAGAAGAAGACGGAAAAAAGCAGCGACTCCTTTATTACTGTTTAACATATTTATGCGCGTATAGTCTGCGCAAGCCGCGAATGCCATATGAATATCTAGTGGGCACTACTACTGGCCCATTTAATAATCTACACGGACTTCAGAAAAGTCGTTGGTAGGAATATAAACCCATCATGAGACATTCACAGGTGTTTTGTTTATTATAGTGTAAACATGCCGCAAGGCACTTAAAAAGATCAACTAGTAAAAAATTGAAGACGTTTAGAAGTCTCTGTAACACGAAATTAGAGCGCAGCTCTTCAGGAGTAGGAGGGGAGGAAATGCCCCTCCTCCTCCTCCGTACCCTCTCCTCCTCCCCTCGTCCTCCCGTCCTTCTCTGCTCCCCTTCCACCCCTCCTTTTCTCCCCTCCTCCTCCTCTTTCTTTCCTTATTCTCCTCCTTCTCAGCACCTCCTAGAAATAAGGCCGTAGCACTCTTCCCGTGACGTCGCAAAGGAAGGCCATCAGGGGCACGCGTCGAAGCGAAGGCAACGCGCGTAGATCGACCGTCGTAACGTGCTTTTCGTCATATACGAGTGTCTTATTAGCTAAAATGAAAGCTGCACACTGCAACGGGTCTAAGAAACTTTATTACACGGGCAAGACATTACACCGCTAAATAATCGATACGAAATGACTCGAGGTATGCGTAGAAGGCGCCTATAGGAAAATGTGATTGTTTTAAGTAGCAAATATTGAGTCACGTAATTATTGCTGTAGGACTGCATATTTTATACATAAATACTTCGACTAAATAGCAAGACACGCAGTGATTGGACGCAGCAATACAGATCAGTAAAATATTAGGTAGACGTAGCCAACGCTGACACGGCTCGACAAGCGTCAATTGTAAGCGATGTTATCGCGTGCATTCACTGAGTTCAAATTAATGTAATTTTGATCGAATGACGATATGGGGTCCACAAATCAGCTTGAGACGCTCGAACAATCACTCAAAACAGCGAGCTGATGAAATCCCGTATTATTTAATCAAAATATATTAACTTTTCCGTGTGACAGGGGTACTAAACTTACTATTTACAGTCAACTAATTTGCTTCTCCCTATGGGCTCGAGCTGCCTAAGAACAAAATATAGCCGATTTTGTATACAGTAATACCATTACCTTAATACAGTTAAGATTCTAGTAAAAACGCGGTAAAGGCAACAAAATAACATTAGTATATATAAACACATAAGCACAAACAACGCACTTTCAATAATCACACAAACTTTTTATTTACCTTCCAGTAAAAACTAGAGTATTACCACGTATGTGTCGACGCAATAGCAAACGGATAACGACGATGAAGAAAATTCTATTCTTTCACTATATTTAAAAATTAAATCGACTGCAGCAATTTCGTTGCGTCTTACATGACCAAGAAAGCCCGTAAATAAGTTGTTTCTCACCTGTCGATCGTATCCATACGTCCGACAAGATCCATCTCGGAAACATTTGAACGCGAACTTCAAGAAGTTTCTCTTTGTCGAGGGAGAGGTCATCGGCCAGTGTCATCGTTGACTGGTAGCCACACACCTCACTCGAACCCTACAGGACTTGTTTCGCGAATCCACATAAATGCCATAGTATCAAACGAACGCAAAAAAAAAAAAAAAAAAAAAAAAACCTACCTGAGATTGCGGTAACGACAAAAAAAAACGACGGGTAGGAGGATCAAAAGAACCACACAGACACACACACAGGAGAGCAGCAGCAGCAGTGTGGGACGAGAGGTTTAACATTGTCTGCCCATCTCTTGCTCGTGTGCTCTCCCTTCCTGCGGCAATGACTGGACTTTTCTTTTTTTTTTTTCTTTTTTTTTTTTGGGGGGGGGGGGGGGGTTTGAAATGTCTCAGCGTTCCTTTGCATACAGTCAGCAGCTCACACACAACGTAAATTTACCCTAACCGGAGCCCGTACGAGGGAAGAAGATGTCGCATCGGAAATTCGGAGCCGGTTCATTCAAAAAGTGTGGGGAGCTGCGGGACTGCGCGTAGTCCCGCGGTTGCGGGGATAACCATAAATATAAATTTGGTACTTTCAACCTTGGTAACACGTTGTATATTATATATATATATATATATATATATGTATATATATATAATTGTTATATATATATAATTGTTCATTGCGTTGATGCTTGAATCTTTCAGCCCTGTAGACCTTATTTGATGCTTTCCGCAGTAAACACCTAACCACTGCATTACCTTTTTATGTAAGTCAATTCCAACAGGCTAAATCCCTTCTCCGTTTGTTTTTCGGGGAGTGCACGTGTAAAGAAAATTGTGCACTTTCTTGCCATCAAATGTCTTTAGAACAATTTCGGAAGAGAAATGATTTCACAAAAGTATGCCATACCTAGCAACTAAAAGAAGCTATTTTTGCAAGTTGAACCCCGGTTGCATGGTTCTTTTGGTCGAGATTTGGTTTTTATCAAAATATTTAGGGACTCAAAAGTCCGAAAAGCCACGGTCGAGCCAAATTGAACTTATTTGGCCAGATACTGGGTATCTTCCTGACCCTAATTCGCCAAACAAGTGCCAAAGTTTTTCTCCACTGTTGATCGTTTGGCTGTCATCTGTCACTTTTGGTCTTCACTAAGCTTCACTAGTGGTTGTTTGGTTATCTTGTTACAACTTTCGGCATAAGTTTCCAAGCAAGTGCAAGATTCAGGCTTCAATGCTGTAGCGTTAACGCACCGCAACTCCAAGAATGTAGAGCGGAAGTTTGAGCTGCAGAAGCCCGGAACATCGGCGTCAAGAGGGCCAGCGGCACCCTGGGAGGTAGCCCGCCGCGACCTCCCCCCCCCCCCCCCCTTCGCTCTCGTGGCCCGCCGCGACACCCCCCTTAGCGCTGCACCCGAGGCTGTTCGCCCCGCCCCCCCCCCCCCCCCCCTTGTGACCCCATTGCCCAGAAATCTTGAGTTCAATCCTCACCCCGGCCCGTTACGATCTGGGTGAGCATGCTACCGGCGAGCGGTCGTATATCAGTACCGCATGACCCAGGTTTAAACCCGAAGGCATTCAGTCACGGCGCACTACCTATATTGCTCATCCTCAGCGTAAACTAGTGTGGCCATACTTTGCGCTGTTTTAACACGGAAGTTTGATAGGTTTTCTAACTGACATGATAAATTAATATGTATCAGCTGCTAAGCACAGCTGATGAAAACACAATCTTGATGAAACACACTTAACATGTACTTCAAGGTTTATTTTCACATTTTATTTGTTATTATTTACATTAAGTGCGATCAGGTACTTACTGAAAGATAACGTCCGGAAATCGCCGAACACATAACCTTACACTGGGAACTACACCGCACATATTCGACGTACACGCAAAGTGTCTGCATTTGAAAAGTGGCCTTCCACGAATGCTTGGAAAAGAACACTGTTATTTTTCTATTCTTATATGATGAATTGGAAAATGAAGAAGATTGCATGTTTGACGAAAATCAGACTGTTGTGTCCGTCTTCTCTTCACAAAGTTCGGTTCCTTCGAGTGAGCTTCACATCCAGATTCAGAGATGGCCTCAGAACAATTCCTATCTCCAGCTGGAGTTCACTCTCCGGGAGTTTCGATTCAATTTTAAAGCGCCTCATCACCTGGGCGACCAGCACCTTGGCCTTTAGCACCGCAAACCGCTGACCTGTAAACAAAATAAAATGCGCGTAAGCTTCATTTTACATTGTTACATACACTGAAAAGATACGCAAATTGTATTTTGATTGCTTGATATACTAACTCTGAATTCTTTAATGAACGAAGTTGAAAATAGTAAATATTAAAAGTACCTCCGTAAATAGATTCAATGCAAACGAGGTTTCACTGTCCTGTTTTGTCTTTTAACACTTATGCATTTTCAGATTAATGCAGGTTAAAAAACAATTCAAATATTATAATTTAGAAAATGATGGAATTCATGGCAAGCATACCCGGCAAACGAGATTATTCCGATTAAATAAATCGCTGCTTCAACATATTTAGTGGAGTTAGACAAAGTGACTGTCTAATTGATCCTGATATATTGTTTTTTCTTGTAAAAGTGTAAATATTTTTTTGTTACAGGTCCCCCTTCTTGTTTTTCTTTATGGTTATAATCTCGTTTAGTTACTTGTTCTCTAGAACTTCTCTGACCAAATCAAGCAAAAGACGGAGGCAAGAAAGCCTAGTCATTCACTCACGCGGGGTGATGAGTAGTAGGAAAATAAAGAAGTTTCTCCATTTCAACTATCTGGCAGAGCAACACAGCCTTCAAAATCCTGAGAAATGGAAACTGAAAAAGCTCTACCCTACGAAGATGACCGCGTCACAATGTTAAAGGACCCGCAAGCACTGTCGCATATTGACGATCACAATGTAAAGTGAGATACCGTCTTCAGCTTACTAATTTAAAGATGTAATGTATTCAGTTTTAATTTAATCTTAGTATTCTTACCTATGAAAACCACAATTGTCATCTCTACTCATTTATACATAAGAAAATGCAATCTGGACTATTTATGTTTTAAAATTTCTCATTTGATAGCTAGTGGCGCCTTCTCCAATGAGACGCATCGTTCCAGACATTCGATACCAAAGACAATTGCATTCACACTTTCCACTTTGCAATGGATGTACCGCTTTTTTAGGATATGTCTGGCCCACTGTGGCTGTCGTTTGAGTTCAACATCTAGAGTTCTTTTTCGTTTAGATCGGAGCTCTTCGTCATTTACTGGATATTCAGAAAAGTTCGAAAGAAAATGAACTTTTCGTTGTTAGATATTTACAGCAAGTTATATCTAGAATTTCACAATTACCACAAAAAAAAAACTAACAAGGTATGTACCAGTGTTGTTCCCGTTACCGAAAAAAAGTAACGAAATAGCGTTACTCGTTAGTTTGGTATAAATTATTGCGTTAGGTTAAGTTACGTAACTACGTTCTTTTTTACAAACGTAACGATAGACCGTTACCGTTACTTTTCAAAAATAACGAACGTTACTTTTACGTTACTTTTACGTTACGCTACCGTGGGTCTTTCATATTGCAGCGCACTGTAGTACATATGTTTGGCAGCATGCGAACGGGGACTGCTGGAACACAACCAGCAAACCAACACCCCTCACCTTTACGCCGGTTTTAGTAACAGTCCGGTTCATACTATTACCAGAGACTGATTTACTTCACTATGTGGAACAGGACACCGGTTACCAGCCCACTGGTTATAATCACTTGCTGCCTATTACCAGCAGTAACTCTTAGTTTTTTTGCGAAAAGAAAAAAAAAAGGTTTCGTGTTTGTTAGTTTTCTCTCCAGGTTTGAAACTTTTTAGTTTTTCTTATTATGACCTTAGGGGTCAAGGGTCCAAGCGAAAGATTCTTCTGGGTACAAAAGTGGGTCAAGAACTTCCAGGCAGCGAGAGGGAGAGCGAGGGTAAAGCATTCCACAAAGGGTGTTTCGTTTTTTTTTTTCGTTGTTTTTGTAGCTAGAAACGAGCAAATCGCTTCGCCACTAGTCGCCACTAGTTGTCTCCACCCCCCCCCCCCCCTTCCCGCTGTCCACCTCTGTTGCACAAAGCAGAGGCGGAAGAGGAGGGAGGGAGAGGGGGGGGTGGCTGTAACGCAGTCGTTCGTTCAAACCTCGTGGGCAATGACACTATGAAAAAAAAAAAAAAAAGGAGGACGAACGGGATTAGCTTGTTGCCGAAGGTTTTTTTCGCCTTCGAGAATCGAGATAGTGTCGGCTTTTAACGGATGTCTTTCTTGATCCGAACGGTGTTTTTATGTTTACTGGGACGGATGCTGGTTCCCTGCAGCGATAAGCTTGTCAGGATTTTGAGATGGATGGTTGAATAAATGAACTGATAAGTGGAAAACCCACCGTTTTAGGAAATCGAAGGTTCAGAAATCTTAGCAGCAAGATACGGCATTGCCTGGGGATTGCGTGCTCGAGCGCAAATAGTTGCCCCTCGAGCAGAGAAGCTAGATCCTCCATTGAGCTTACTGACTTGAATTTAGTTCCCCTAACGTCTCCAGTTTTATGCACAAGATTGCTATTCTAAAGGTTAGATCAGTCGTCGTGGCCTTTTCCCAAATACCTAATGTATTTCACCCGTTTTGGTCAAAAGTAACGAGTAACGTAATTTGATAGCCGATACCGTAAAAAAGTAACGAAAGTACTTTACTCGTTAGTAATTCAGATAACTAACGAGTACGTTACTGCGTTAACGAAAAATGTAACGCGTTACAAGTAACGTCTTTACAAGTAACACGTTACCTCCAACACTGGTATGTACCGTAGGTTCACAAAAAGTACCGACACTCTAAAAATAATGTCTGAATTCATTTGCCTGCAGAAGACGGAAATAGACAATCACGAGGAATAGGAAAATAATCAAACCAATTACGAAGTTTAGGATAGGGTTAGATTTGATAATGTGATATGCGCAGGGACTAGCAGAAAGTGAAACATGCTCGTTTTCTAATCGTATCTCACTCACAACGATTATTCATTGTTCGCAGTGAGTGGCCGTTAAATATGCTCTCCAGGAAAATTAACTTATATAGATTTTACTGAGTGTCGTTACCGATTTGCAGTTGCTTGCAACAAAATATTTAACAAACTGAGTATGATATTGAGAAACTCCTAGGTGCAACGTTGTACCGAAAATGTTATGGCAGGTGGCACGTGTGAAAACGATTTCAGACACAGAGGCCATAAAACGTGCGATATCAATTCAAATATATCTGAGTTGGAAAAGAGTGTAGAGGATGATAACCGCATCACAACTCACCGATACAGTTCCTCTGCCCTCCGAAGAAAGGAATGAAGGCATATTGATGTCTTCCATTGTTTTCCTGGAATCTTTCAGGAACGAAGGTGTTCGGCTCATCGTAGAACTTCTGGTGTCTTTGCAGGAAGTAGATCAGCGTCACTACTACTGTTCCCTTTGGAATAAGCTGTTCACCTGTTAACACAACGTAGAATCCTTATGCGCTCTTTATTTCTGGAGTATAATGATTACATACATATGTCATCACACATATTAGGGTGGAAGGTACTAGTATGCTGCTTGGAAGGCGTCTCCGACCGTTGTGATTACTGCCTCCAAAAAAAAAAATGGTCTCTCGATTTCAACCCAGTAACGTCATAGGAGTGTCATGCTGTCGCCGGTCGCGATCCTGGCGGTGTCCCTCTAGCAGTGGTAGATGTGGCAGACGTCTGTTCTGCTGCAGGTCGCTCCTCATTGTGACAGTCCACAGAAGCTTCGGTAGCTACAAGTTGGGACGCCGCGACGACAGCGGCAATCGCGTTGGCTCGGTATTTTTGCTAGCACTTTTACGATCAGTCGCCAGGATCGCGACATCCAACAGGATGACTCTCCGGCTTCTGTGACGTCATTTGTTGCCACTACAGTACCTTTTACGATATATGGGCGAGATGGGACGCTAAACACACCAGTGGGAGACACGCGCCAGGTACCATAGTAGCAGATTATAAACGATGGGTTACTGAGGTGCCCCCAGTCACTGACATGATGAGAAACACATGGCAGGACTTATAATGTTCACGCTTCTTGCTTAGGGATTCGTTCTAAAGCCCTCTAATTGGCTAATGCCGAGTTGGATTTGCACCAGAGCCATTATGAAATGCTTTGCACTCGGCATGCCAGCTTTCCGTTAGCTGTCACTGATTATTCGGAGCGCAAGTTTGTCTGCTTTTTTTTGCCGGGGTTGGGGTGACGTCAGAACGCCGAGCTCTCATTGGTTCTGGTTGAAGCACAGTAAGTAGACCTCAAAGCAAGCTGTCTTGATGTGTACCCACTATCCTTCCACCATCAGAGCTCGGTGTTCTAAAGTCACCGTAACCCCTGCAAAAATATTAGACGAACTTGCGCTCCGCGTAGTCAGTGACAGTTTACGAAAAGCAGACATGCCGAGTTCCAAGCGTCTCATAATGGCTCCGGTGCGAATCCGAGTTCGGCATTAGCCAATAAAACCAATAAAAACGGACAAACTTGCGCTCCGTATAGGCTCCACATTTACTTGACACTTGCCTATTTTCATGTCCTCGTCAATGTGCCGCGCCACCACCGGAACAGAGGGATAAAGCCGCAACGTTTCCTATAAAGCATCCAGATGAGTAACAGATTAAGCGATTGAAACTCTTCCAAATCTGGATGTGTAGCTGCTTATCAGGTGATTCGAAGTTCATCGATGTATTACCTTAATCACGCAGTCCAAGTACGGCAGATCCCTGAGGTCATCCAAAGTTACTGGACGGTCAACATCATCTCCAAAAACCCTATCTAGTTCTTCGTGTAACTTTTTTTGGACCTCCAAATGATTTCCGAGAAGGTACAAGCAAAACGCCGCCGACGTAGCGGTTGTATCAAATCCCTGCATTGAAGAGCAAAACGTTGTGGACTAGTCAGCAGTCCATTCGGTAAAGGTATAAAGCGCGCATATACAGTAAGTAAAATAATATGCACTGATGTATTTCTGCTCCAAACACAATTGATTTATTTGTCTATTCCGTTTAAAATAGTATTTGCACCAGTAGTAACTAATGGAAGACGAAATATTAAGGTCAGGATTTCTAGGTCAGCGTTCCAATAAAACAGGTTACAAATTATAAGGCTGGTGAGACCTTAAAGGGGGCAATTAAGTCATTTTTGAAAAAAAGTCGTTTTTGATCTTATATTGTTTAAAATGTGTTAGTTCCCACTTATACGAAGACCTATATTACAAAACCTCATACTCATCTCAGGGCAATAGAAAAACATGTGGATTCTTTTTTCTTGCGGACTACATTGTGTAGACCACTGAAAGCGCTAGAATACGCGCAGATTCCGAATGACTTTATTATAACTTGTTTCGTAGAGAGTTTGCTAGGTTCACATTAAAATAAGACTTCTCTTTTTCTCCGCGGGCGAAGCCATTACTTGCAACTCGCCGACATGCGCCCTTCGTCAACCACTTCACTCGGAAGAAAATTCTTTTCGAAAAAGAGCGTGTCGCAATTTTGAACACGCTTTTGACAAGAAAATAAGCTACGCACGATTGTGATTTCGGGTTTTGTTGGGGCGCTTAGAGCGTCTAAATTGAGTTGTCGCCACAAAAGAACGATCTCAGAATCGACTTTAGTGCCCATTTAAGTACAAGACGGCGCACTAAAGATTAACGAAAACAATATCACTCCCTATCAAGGCTATACCTAGAAAAGCTCGAAATATTTTAAACGCTGGATGAACGAGTTATGATGTGCTTATGGAAGAACCCATTATTTCTGATCTGTAGAGGCTAGCTGGGCGAGAGGAGGCTGAGAGGGCAAGGTCTGAAGTTAGACCTGTTATCCTGTCTCACAACCTCAAAAAGGTGGCAAATAAGTTTCGCATTCCTGTAGTTTTTTCTGCCCCAAACAAGCTTTCTAAGCTTTGCCAAAGAATAAATAATGCAGGTGTGTCAGGTGATGCGGAAGGGGCGTGCTGAAAGTATCATGCCACCAAGTTTCGACAATGTGCCTTAGGGGTCACTTATGAGGTTCCCCTGCTTTGCGGTAGAGTTTATGTTGGCCAGACGGGGAGGAACATTAGTGATAGAATCAGAGAACACTCAGCCGCCACCAGGAAATCCCCTTCTGGCCACTTGGCTGTACATTGTGATAGATGTGAGTGTCAGGCTGAGTTTAATAATACCAAGATTATGGGAAAATTCAAATCCAAATTGGAACGTGAGATACACGAGGCATTTATGATAAGGGCCCATGGCACGAATGTGTGTATTAGTGCTCCTTCTGTTGCCTTATCCGATAAGGAGCGGGTTTTTATTGGTCACTCGACAGTGACGGCAGGCTTTTCATGGGGTTAATGAAAGCCCATCATCTTTGCGCATGTAGGGTTTTATTCTTCTTTCATGTGTTTTCTTCAGTAAAATTCAGTTGCAAGTTACGCCTCGTCCTGTCTGCTTCTTTCTTTGTCCATGTTTTTAGGCGTATTTTCCGCCATGCCTAAGTGCTGCGTTTACAAGCATTAATGTAATTCAATTGTTCATGGTTCAAAGAACTTGAAACTTATTTTTTGTCACAATCCACCCACACACACACACACACCTAAATATTCAACTGCTAAACAGACCCTTTCACTTTATAGTCGAATGGTCTGTTTCTCAGGCCCCTTGATGTATTAGCCATAAAGATAGCAGATCATGCAAAGCTAAAGGAGGGGAGACAATAATCTAAGAATTTAATGAGTCACGCTAATCAAGCTGAACCATGGTGTATAGATGATATTGGAAACTCACAGCACCGAGTATTGTGATGGTTTCGTCCAGGATTTCACTCTCAGTAAGCGTTTCGTCTTGCATGTGCATTTGAAGAAGAATATCCAGGAAGGATCTCGTGGAGTTTCTCACGTGGTTCTTGTCCATCAGTTCTTCTTTGCGCGCCGTAATTATCTTGGTTTCAACGCAAAAATGAAATGTAAAAACAAGTACACCCGGTTAATAATGCAATTAAATGCAAAGCTGCAGGCGAGCTGGACAAAAACGACGAATATAATCCCTGGAGAAGGGGAACAAGAGGGACAAAAGACAAACACAAATCTCCAAACACAGCTAGGTGACTGTTGCGTGACTGAAACATACCGCCTGTCCCTGGTATCGAACCGGGGACCTCTCCATTTCTAGTGGAGCGCTCTACAAAACTGAGCTAACCAGGGGTTAGACGTCAGTAGAGGTAGAGCAAACAGGTTTTATCAGCTGCCACCAGATAACACCAACAAGGGTGAAAGCTTGCATTTTAAGGTTATGATAATGATGCAATTAAATGCAAAGGTGCTAGTGAGCTGGACAACAAAAGACAAAAATAATTTCTGGAGAAAAGGAACAAGATGGACATATACTAGACGTACACCCTGATTCTTCTATCTATGGTTATAAGACTTGTTTGAACTGACCTGGTCCAAAACAATTGAGGTTTGATATTCGGCTAGGTAATTAACATTGCAACTTCCATTGGTATTTACAGGTACAAGAGCTGCACACCAGGTACAAAATAGTCTACGTCCAGTGTATGTCCAGGCAGCACCTGCAAACACGACAAGTAATAAAAAAAGGCTTATATAATAATTTTTTTTAAGGATACCTCGATCAGCTTAAACTCTTTAGTTATAGGGATGGAAAAGATTCAGTTGCTTTAAACAGTAAGACAGGGGTGGCCAGGCTGGTCCGGCCTAAGAGCTGCAAACAAAACCACAAAGCTTCCAAAAGCCGCGAGTTGGGGGGGGGGGGGGGGGGTGCAAACTTTTGTCCAGAGTAATAAACGAAACTGGAACTACTTTCCATCTATCCGAGTCAAAAGCAGTCCCACTGTGCGTAAGGTAGAAGTAGCAGAAGACTACCAAACCGCAACCTGTCTTCTGATTTAAGACGCATTCTATTTCTCTTTTTGGGACAGTGCTCGTGTGACCGGGAGGGAGGCGGGGGAGGGGGGTGGGGGAAGGGGGAGGGAGCCGCGAGCCGCACTTAAACACGCGAAGAGGGGCATGCGGCTCGCGAGCCGTAGTTTGGCCACCCCTGCACTAATATATCAATATACCACAGCAAGTATTTATAATCGGGAGCGTGGCTGTTAAAATGTAAAATTGTTTAAGCAGAAGTTCTGACTTTTTGATAAGCCCTTAAGAAAACCAGTAGAAGTTTATATTTCCCATTATGTCTTTTTTATATGATTTGTCTGTCCGTTTTCTTTCTTTCTTTTCTAGTTAGCCAGTCTGTTGCAAGGGTGTTACATAGCAAAGTCCTGAGTAGTCATCAACAAAGAAAATGGAAGGAAAGAGTTCACGAAAGATACAAAACGTACCTGGCGACAATAGTCTCTTAATATCCGTGATACTCTATGGTGATTCTTGCCCTCGCTGCTGAATTCGTAGATGAAGTCCCACCAGTAAGCGACGTTACAAATACGGGAAATAAATCCGTCGCAGAAACTGGGAAAAAAATGTCATGACATGTGGCATTCCTGACAGCATCAGTGGGCCTCGTGATTTTATAATGATTGCCAGTCTACGAGAGAACCGACATATTCATATATTTATTAACAGAAAGAAAAATTTACAACTTCTTTCCTTTGTTTTTTTTTTGGGGGGGGGGGGAGGGAAGGGGCTTGCGGTGTATTCAATTACATTGTTTGTTAGAAGAGATAATACATAATGCGTTCATACGCTTCTTGTTACTGAACACGCATTACACAAAAAAGGGTAAACGCAGTAGATCCTTTACTTTAACTTAACTTGTTTATGGAATCTGAACAAGCCGTCAATGCCCCACTACCATCCAGTTGACAAAATAATTATCTTCCGTGAAACATAAGCTCACTTTAAAAAGTCGTCGGTAGGAATGAGCTCATCAGACGGCATATACGGTTATTTTACTTATTCAAATGTAAAATGACGGAAAGTCACTACATTAGCTAAACAAAAAGAAAAAAAGGCATGCGTCCAATTATACGCATAGATGTACATGTAGTGAATTTGAAATCGAAAAATTGGAAGGTGCTGCTACTACTTACGTTTGCATTCGTTTTATGTGCCCTTTACTTTCAAACTCCTCGTCTTCTATGTCAGAGATTCCAAACACCGTTTCTGATTAACAAGAAAACAAGTCGGTTAAATTTTTACCGTCCCTTATGCATACTCAATGGTGCACATATGATACATTCATCCGCGTATATAAAACATTATTGTGAATTAAGGTATTTGTGTCATTAAATATTACGAAGCACTACTATGCATTCTTTAGTTGAGATACGGTAAGTTAAAACTCTAAAAGGAACATCAGATTAATAGTGGAATATTCACTTATGAAAAAATATCAGACCCAACACCATAGGGACCTTTCTCGCGATAATCTAATTGAAGTATTCCGGAAAGGCTACCTCTGTAAGTCTGAATTCTTATAATATGGTCGCAGAATGTAGAGAAAATACAGAGAGTGATTTCTTTGCTTGCACTGAGAGTAAAAAGTACACCTCACGCAAACAAACACTGCCCATGGGTTGGTTTAGTTGGTTGGTAATCCTCGTTTTATATACGGCCCTCCAATTCACCGTATTTAATCTCTCAAGGTTGCTTAATAGCTTTAATTTATTTAACATAGATGAAACTACTTTATCATAAAAAATGTATCCTTTATTTTTACGTAAGAAATTATGCTTATGCAATATATTTTTCCTTTTGAATATGCTGCTCTCCTATAGGATGATGTATAATGTCTTGTGCCCCGCAATAAATGTTGTATTTATGTTCTGTGTATGTGTTGCCGCTGTAGCTGGTCCTTTTAGCTTGCTTGTACCTCCCCAACTGTACCTACACCTTTGTCTCAGCCTTTCTCTTTATTGTTAAGTTTATTAACATTCACGCGTTTTATGGCTCCAATTTAAGTGTTAATAACAGAAAACATGTTTGATTGAAAAGGTTAACCGAACTGAGTAATGCTAGTTGGGTACATCGTGCTGAAGAAAGAGGAAAGTGGATAGAAAAAAAAGTGTACTCAGAGGGAATAAAACAAAAATTAACAGAACATTTAATAAATATATAAATAAAAAGGTCACTCAGATAATGAAAATAATAAAAAATTGTTTTAACAAAATGCGTCTTAAGATGATTAACAGAAAACAAACTTTGTCGACGAGCAACATCGATCAAACTGGAAACGCGCCCTTCAGCACGCAGCCACCCGGTCTCTAACACGCTTCACGCGGCCGACTCTGTGTTGTGTATAAAATGGCCGACGCGTATCTTCTGGCGACCGCATTCGCACTGCAGCGACCACGCGCCTATACGCGATCAATCATATTGTCATATAGATCAGTGGCTATAATCTAGAAGGCCTATAAAACGTTTATTGCATAATATTCCGAAAGAATGAACCAGAGGAACGTCTGTATGATCTACGATTGAATATCGTGATAAAAACTACAGTAATGATTTTGGCTCTGAGGCGTTTGACTTGTGCCGACCAAGCAAGAGATTGGTCGGTACTACTCCTAAGCATTATTATTTTCTAGCGTGAGGATTTAAGACAGCTGAGAGGTTTCAATTCGACATCGTTAAAAGTAAAAATTAATTCAATGAGCTAGCAACATATTGCTCTCAAATTGTTTTTCTAGAATGCGTGAAAAAGCGTTTTACCCATCAGGACACCAAATGTTGCGGCCCTCACCGGGGCCATAATATTGAAGTACCCCGACGCAGAATCATTAATCACTTCAAGTTTTCTTGTGAAACGTTCCAGTCTTCGACTCATAATGGGAACATAAGAGTCCAGGTTGCGAGCATGGAAGGCTGGATTGATGGTTTTTCTTCTTGGTCTCCATACATTCTTTTCGCTGGAGTCAGAACAAGAAAGCAGCAACATGCGCTTAATTCTTTCTATCAGATAATGTCCCTCAAACAGAATCCGGCATTTACTCCCGATGGCACATAAAGTACCGTACTTACCAGTCCAATTCAACATAAGTATGAAGTCTATAATGATATATATATATATATAGAGAGAGAGAGAGAGTGAGAAAGTAACTGACATGGGCGAAAACAGGCACTTGCGAGTAAAAAAATTCAAACCAGAAATTGACGTTGGTTTGAAATTTGTTTAAAAAAAGCCGTTAACGTTAATCTTATGCGGTTTGTGCAGATGAGTTATATGCCAGGTTGACATAATATAGAGGGCTAATCGTAACGATCCGTCGGATAATTAATTAAAATTCGCTAATTAACTTTCAAATAAATAAAAAATAGACATATTGTATCAATTATAAACTTGCTGAAGGTTATCTAAAACCACTAAATGACAAATTTTCAGAAAGACTTTGAGCGCGTTAGAAGCGTAGTAGTGCACTGAAGTTACCACTCGTGGAGCAGGTACAAGGCTTGCGGTTACAGAACTTCATGATAATGAAATCATCCGCGTTACGCAACCTCTAGCCTTCTACCTGCAACAACAACTTTTACTTAATTAATCACCAAGCTGTGACGGTATTTCGCCCCTCGAATGTCCGCCGAGTTTAAGACGCATATAGTGGGGACGACATTCACGTAGCAGTAAAGCCACCTTTTTTTTAAATGTGTTCCGCATAAAAAACATCACCCTCTCTCTTTCTTTTTCTCTCTCTCTCTCTCTGTCTCTCTCTCTCTCTCTCTCTCTCTATATATATATATATATATATATTGTTGCGGGAGTCTCAGCTCATGGGCTAAACGGGCAACCCAGCATTCAATCCCCCGTTCTCCACTCGACCTTTTCTTCCTTTTCCTTGTCCGCTACAATATATATATATATATATATCCTTCCAAAAAAGTATATCTGGCCAGATCTGAAGATTTCAGATAGGGCACATATCAAAAGTTGGCCAGATATAACCTGATTTGATTTATCTGCGAGATATAGTCTGACATCCCTGGACCGGTATGGAAATTCCAGATCTGGCCAGGCATGTCACAACAAGCACACACGCCTGAAATAAGCACTTTATATTTTTTATTGTCTACAATAGACCATTTGCTAAATCCCTCACGTGCCCCGACCCGAATTCGAGGAATCGTGTAATGGTGTTCCTTCAGCTCCCTAGTGATCGGCAGTTGCAACCAATTCCATGGTTACAAAGATATGAGCGTAATTTGTAGTCACCCTGAACAAGCGTCCTATAGAGCGCAAGGCCCTGTCATATCACTTTTAAAATTTCTCGTCAATGCCAGCGTTTACGATACTGTGCATGCGATCCACCTTTCAGCCTGACGGAGCCGCAGAAATCTCTTACAATATGATCATTGTTGCAATTGTTGTTTTAGCAGAAATTGCTTAAAAAGCCGAAAAATCACAATAACAAAAACCAGGATTTAGCAGTCAACGGGGCTGTTTCTAGCATTTTTAGCGTTTCTAACTTAATATAAGCGTGTTTGAAGCTGTACAAGGATGCCTGCAGCTCATTCAGGTGATATGACAGTTCCCATAATTCCTCGAATACGGGTCTGTGCGCTTGGGGGATTTAGCAAAGGATCGAATGTTAACACTTCAAAATAATTAGGCTACAATGAAATCCTCGTGAAAAGTAAAATAATCATAAACTCTGTTTGTCAAAACTGAATTTTGGAATGATTTGTCCTAATATTCAGCTCTTGAACAATGAGTCATTTGCAGTTTGCTAACAGTGCACTTTTTATAACTTGGTTTTTTTAACTTTTCTATATATTGAAAAACGGCCGACATAAAAGGATGTATACACACCAGATAACGAAGTATATGCCTAAGATAAGGCTGTGTATATTCCAGATAAGGCTTTATATTCGTCAGACAAGGGTGTAGGTTTGCCAGATAAGGCTGTATATAGGCCGTATGTAATCATTAAATGTTTGACATGGCCAGAAATGCCCCAGATATGAGTATTCTATACGGGTATATATATATATATATATATATATATATATACATATCTGTGTGTGTGTGTGTGTGCATATAGGATCTTCTGGAAGGCACACGCCGCCACATGGAACGTGGTACGACGCTTTCTGGCACGTCCTGGGTGCTCGTTGAGCTTAAGAGTTCCCTTCACTGTGCGTGTCGTCAGGTGTACATATATTATTTCTTGTATATGAGCTTTAGAAACATGACATCGAATGGCGTCAGTTTACCGCGCATTAATTCTATCTCACTGGAGGTATACTGGAAGAGTTTATTACCTGACTATCAAACCCGTCCCCATTGCAGGCTCCATGAAGTGGTAAATGAATGGCTTGTTGACGTTGTTGCTGCTTTTCACCAGAGCCTGGAGGTTTAAAACGATACAATGTTTATTCAGAAAAAAATAGTAATATTGCGTTTCTGAAAGTCTTGACAAAATTCATATCAAGAGCGCACAACCGTGGCTTTCAATAACATTAAGCCATTCTCAACATTTTTTTTTTGTAATGTGGGTTATGTTCAAATAACTGCTTCTTAACTTTTTATGTCACAGAATTATTATTCATGGGGGTCTATATATCCCTGACCACGGTCAAGGTCCAGTAGTTCGTGGTACTACTTAGGAGCGTTTGCTTCATTATTTTTTTTTTCAAATAAAACTTTGTTGTGCACGTAACTATAAATAGTGTTTCTTCATTCTATTAAAGACAGAGGTCAACTCCCCATTTAATGAGCCAAAATAAAAAAAATTGTTGCATGGTCACTTTAAGAACTACTGCTATGGTTTCAACGCTAGCTAGGGTGTCCAACATACCCAGGATCTATCTAGAATTGGCGGTATAAATCGGCGCTTACACTTAGCATACTAAACGTTTTGTCAAAAGTGTATTGCAGAGGTCAGTTTTGTCATGCGAAATTACAAAGCGTAGCTTCCTTTCTGTAAAACGATTGGGCCAAACAACTTGCCATGGTCAACGGCGACACAGGCGACTGAGTTGAGTGACGGGCGCGTTTTGCGCACGTATTGATAGGTGGCGTCGAGAATAGCGTCGGAAGGTGTAGCCGACAAGCGAAAGAAAGCATACGACATGCTCACGAAATTTGTCCTCAACAAGAGCGCTGTCGGCGCCGTCGTTGTGCAACCGCGTTTTCTTTTATTTTTTTAACTTCAAGTTTTGCTGTCATTGTCCTCGTTTATTTTTTAACCAAAGGTACACTACAAAAATATATTTTTTTTAATAGGCCACGGTCGTTCCGAACAGTCTTGATAGTATTGATAAGGAGGTAGCGCCATCTACCAATACGTGCGCCAAACGGGCCTCGCCACTCGACTCGGTCGTCTGCGTCGCTGTCCGCCGTTGACTTCGGCAAGTTCTCTGGCTCTATTTTTTACAAAAAGGGAGCTACGCTTCGTAATTTTACATTATAAAACCGGCCTCTGAAATACACCTTCGACAAAAAGTTTAGATTTCTACGTGCATGCGCTGATTTTTACGGCCGATTTTAGATTGACCCTGGTTTTCTCAGACACCCTCAGATACACTTTTTATTTTACTAAAATAAAAGTTTTTTGTTTTTTTTTACAGTAGATGTGTGCATTTTGAGAGAGCCTCTGTTCTGTAGAGTATCCTCGCTATTTATTTGCCTGGTTAATTGACTTCTCCTAAATATTGCCGCGTGTCATGCAACCCCTTCGTCTGGCAAGTGTTTCAAATTTAGTACTGGGATTACTGGAGAAACAAGAAAAGTGCAGAGCGCGTTTTTCAAACTTCCGGTTTTTAGCCCTCGCTCCCTGCCTTACTCCGTGGTTCGGCTGCGCGCGCACAGTCGAGGTCCCTGAGACGCCGAAGAGTATCGTGCACCTCGAGACACTCCCAGACACCTCGAGACACTCGAGGCGCCGAACCATAGCCTCCTATATGCTGAAAAAGCCTGGCAGATCGCCACGAGAAGCGGCCGCCGCAATGAAAAAGGAGGAGAGGAAGACAACGGATGAGAGGAGAGCCACGTGACTGGCGCCTCGCTGCGGTGAGACGCCGAAACAAACTTCTCCCGAGCGAACAAGTGTGTTTCGGGTCCTCGCCGCTGCAAAAGCTGCGCGCTGACGTCCGGGTTCCTAGAGAAATGGCCCTTTGGTGCCCTGCTCTACCAGATCCTCACTCTCCAAATCTGCGACCGGGCACTCTATGGCTCCGTCGTCGAACTGTCAGGCTTTGTGAGTAAAGAGGAGGCTATGGCCGAACTGAAGCTCCTTCCTGCCGTTCGTTACCTTGTGAGTAACTATAGAAGTTTCCATTGTAGGCAGCTCCTTCAAGGGCCAGTATCGCTAACTCAAAAATACACCTGAAATGTTATTTAGAAAATTGCGTATATGTCTGCCGTAATAGTGATTGGTGATTAAACTTCTGCGCTACAGCTGGTCCACACAATGTCACTGCGTGGTTAATATTTTTATTGTTGAGCTCGATCACGACTGGGGTAGTTTTAACCTTATTGCTATTAAACTTGCGTTGAATATTATTACTTACCTCGACTGCTGCCGGTGTTACCGTTACGACTATAGCCTGGGGCCCATTGAAGAAAACCACCAGGTCATTTTCTCTGTACGTCGCCGTAGACGCCTTCAGAAAATTGAAGAATCCTGAAAGCATAAGCAGGGACATCCTATTGAAACTATAATAAATTTCAAGACTGACGTATAGGTTCTAGGTATTCTTGAAATTTTTCTAGAGAATACCATACCAATCCACGTAACGCCAATTTCTGAATTCTTTAGCTACCTCTAGTTTATCAGATACCCTTGTCCTGCAATAGAGTATACATCGGCCAGACAGGCCGATCTATAAATGATAGGATAACAGAACACGCGCTCTTGGTGAGGTCATCGCCCTCGGACAATCTCGCTATTCATTTCATTGCGACTGATCTGGGTGCGAATCGATGTTAGAAGGCACTGTCATCCGGGGAGTTATAGACAGCAAGCAACCAAAGAAATTGCCGAGGCGTACCACATATCTCAACGCGGAAATGACGTGTGCGTAAGCGTGCCCTCGATCTCCCCGTTTGATAAAAAACGCGTTCTTGGGGGCACGTGTATGACAGTCAGAGTGCATGACAAGATGATAAAATTGCCTCCTATTTATTCACGGCGATTTTTTGTGTTGCTTTCCAGTGAAGTTCAGTAGAGAGTCAGTGTTCTGTCTATCTACGTCACCTCTTGTCCTTCATCTTGTTCGCTCTGTTTTAATCCTTCAAAACTATATGACTACAGCGCTTACACTAAGAGTGATCGCAAATTGAAATATCCAACACGCTTAGATACTTATCATACAGTAATAAAGGCACTGGGCCATGAAATGTTTAGTTCGAGCGTAAACTGGTGAAGTAAGATCGCCCTTAACAGGGCATGGGCGTAATGGTTAGAACATTTACTTAGCGACAACCGGACACTTTCCCCTAACAGTAGAACCTGTAATTAGAACCACCAAGAGCTGGTGAAATTAAAAACATCCCCGACGAAGAACGAGTAGATGCACACAGACAGAGCGCTGTGTTACAACTGTTATTTTCTTAAAATAACATGTGTAAGTCAGCGCTTTGTCTGTGTTCATCTATTCGTCCTTCGTCCGTCTTTGCGCTGGTTTTAATTTCACAATGCAGAATTAACTCGCCGAAGTTTCGACTATACCCAGAGCTTCCACCGATTGAAAGTATTCACCACCTTTTCCCTCCCTCGTTTTAGAATTCGGGCTTATGTTCCCTGACGGCAAGCGGCCTCGGTGATGTGTAAATGTCCTTCATTTTAAGGATCACATTCAGTATTTCATAAGTTTATCCTGATCTTAAAGATGGCTGATGTCGCGGCAGCCAAGTCAGGAAAACGTGTCGAGTACAAACAGAAGAAATGGTAAATCGTCGAGGGCAAGCGATCGTAATGAAACTGTTACGATTAATTTGCAACTGTTTCGCAAATCCGCGCATACTGTGGTTAAGGGACAGTGAGGAAAGACATTGGTACATGAAAACGGACAATACATCATCCTCCACTCTCTTTTGAGGCGGCCACAGGAGAATATTCCCGGGACTTCAGGAAGGGCAGTGCGCTTCGACGACGAAAGTATTATAACTCCTTCATCTGGCAAATAGCGAGCGCTCGGCGCGCGCTCGCCGAGCGGATTCTTGTTTTCCTCGCGAGATGAGAGCAATATCTCCGTGTGCCGCTTGTAGATCTGGAGCCAGTGGGGCGCTCGTCCGAGCAGCTCCAACCGCTCCGTGGAAAAGTGGCGGAGCGCGTCGAGCGGTCCGGAGTAGTTCTCCGCGCATACTTTTTTCAGAGGAGTACGATCTGTAGTCGTCTCTCGTAACGTTTCAGTTTCGTTATCGACATTCCCGCGGGGGTGTGAAGGAGTTTCGCGGCTTTTTTTGTTTCGATTGCTGGGTGGACTCTCTTGGTGTGCTTGTTTTCGTTCCCCTCGTCACGACCGACTCGCCCGAGCATACTGCGACGATGACATCGTTGCAGTTAATTTCAGGAGGTCTAATAAAACGCAGTGAAAGCGACGAAGATACCAGCCTAGCTCCAGCTCGAGTGACGACGAGGCAGCCGTTCTCGGCGAAGTGTTTGCCGAGTCGTTTGGCTGACCAGCAAAGAGGCCCAAGATACCGCGTTACGTCGAAGGCGCTGTGCGCGCCTATTCGGATGAAGAGCTGGGTATGTTGTTTATTCGTCTTGCGGTCTCTGTAATGTAATTGAAATAATTAGAAGACAACACTCCAAATACTCCGCAGATGAAAGTCGCCTTCGGAGATGACGATCGCTTTACGGCATACGTGTTTGGTATTGCTTAAATCATACGGCTCGCACAAGTACTGCTAGTTGTCTTCATCGGGCTTATATAACTGTAAGGGAAAACTAAACTGTGTCTTAACGTCGGGGTCACCGTTAATGAAGTAGTAAACAATCAATTTTTTGTCAAAGCCTAAAGTTCCGATCACAACTTCATGCTTTCAGCAAGGTAGCAATGGGAACCGCAACTGTTCTAAGCGAGAGCAGACGCTCTGGAAGCGGTGGCGCTGGGAGCGTTACGCTGGATTTGCTCCGCAGCGCGTGCCACTGGGAAGGATCACGTGACCGATCGCTCACGGAGGCCGACCGCTCGACGACCGCTAGCGCGGAGCGCTCGGCATTTGCCTGGGGAAGGGGCTATATGAGATCATCGACCCAGGGGCAATTCTGTCTGAGCAGCAAACTCTGGTTTCCGATGATCTCGCCGCTCGCCGACTTACTTGCCTCACTCTGGCGGCAGAAGTCGCTTCTCCTATCTTCCCGTACCATGCATATGCATCTTTCGACACGTTGCGATACTTCCTTCACATTTAATTGTTGCAGGTTTAGGTAGACCACGCGGGCTACCCGTCATTTCCCGTCCATGGTCCTGTTCGGCTGCCCAGAGGGCGCGCCGGAGCAGTACTAGTGGCGCCGCGCTCTGGTGCAAAACCGCCCTCCATAGCAGTACGGGTCCGTTGGCAACGGCAATGAACACTTTCAAATTCTACCGCGGCCGCGTTGCAATATTATCGTGTCTGTCTGTTTAAAAACAAAGCTGATTATTTTTTTAGGTAGTCGAACCTCCGCAAAGAAAGGTTGCCTGTGTGCCAGGTCTTCGGGGTGGAGGAAATAATCCTGCCATAAGAATATTTGTCGACAGCAAAGTGCGTCTCGCATGTGCAAGACAGCGTCGCCTATGCAGAGGGCAAGCCGTCTGCTGCTTGCGCAGAAGTTCCGGTGACGTCGGGACGACGCAGAGCCCCGATTGGCTTTAATTGAAAGGATAGTGGGTAGACCTTAATGCTAGGTGCCTTGAGGTCTACCCACTATTTTTCAATCAGCCAATAAGAGCTCGGTGTTCTGAGATCATCGCAACCCCTGAACAAGAAGCAGACGAACTTACTCTTCTCATAAGATCCGCCTCAAGATAAATGTTGTTTTTTTCTTTATGGCTTCGCTCGCTCTTGAAAGCCAGAGCTATTCGGACAAAGATAAGGGTGCTAAATTGTTAAATTTGCCTTTTGGCCGCAGCAGCGCTGTCGCACACAGTGCTTGAACTCGGGCAAGTGCTCTTGGGAAGTCGGAGTTACCGACTGCTCGAGGCATGCCGCGGCTGTTTGAATTTATGCGAATGAAGTCAATGACGAGGCATGCACTGCCAGAACGCAACGCTGGGTCAAGCTGTATAGAAAAACCGAAAAAGGACGTGAATGCGCCACTGCTCAACTGTGCTGTTTCCAGGCATTTTGAGCCGGTCGAACAACACCGTTATATATTTTAATACACGCCGCGACACTTCGTTGTGCTTGCGCACAAGTACGCTGCCGTCAGAGTGGTAAAATCGTACTTCACGTGCTTAACTAACCCACTCCTACTTTTCTGAGTAAAAAGAGTGGTCGCCAATCGACTCACATTCGCGCCAGTGTTATTGTCGGTTTTTTTTTACCTTTCTTATGTTACGCCAGAATAATAGTTTTGAACACAGTTGCGGGTGACTACAAATACATTTTTTTTTCGTGATTTTTGTCTTTTGTTTGCCGGTTAGACGTAGCTATAATTTATATATCTAGAATACCCTGCGCCAGAAAAGGATCGTTGATATTACTTTCTTCTTTCTGCGAAAAAATTAATTAAATATTGATTTCATCCATACATTTTAAGTGCTCTACCTTTGTGAGGTCTCCTGTCCTTGTCCCCTAAATGTTGCTTTCATTTTAGAGATCTAGCATTGCCAACACGCTCTTGTTGGTCGACCCAAGAATGTTCTAGTGTCTATATTTTAGAGTTACATGGAAGGTAATTATACGTGTTTGGGGATACCTACGTAATTTTAATAATATATAAAAACACTAGAGTACAGCCGTCAATGCCTTAGGAACTGCGATTCTCTGCTTCATCTTACCTGGAGTACTTTGCCGCTTACTTGCTTTCTTTTGTAAGCATCTATCGAAGAACAAAATTGGCGGGCGAGCAAAGTGAGCTTGGTGCTCATATTTAAAGTTGTTTAAAAAAATGGTGACTGCATCTTCGAATAATGCAATTAATGCGAAGGTGCAAGCAAGCTGGACAACAATGACGAAAATAATTTCTGGATAAGAGGAACAAGGGGTACAAAGGACAAATTCAAATCTCCAAACACAGCTAGGGTACTGGTACGCGACCGAAAAAATCCGCCTGGTACTTATATCGAACCGGGGACCTCTCCATTTCCAGTGAAGCGCTCTACAAACATTTACCCTTGTTGGTTTTAGATTGGTGGCAGCTGATAAAACATGTTTTCTCGACTGACGTCTAACTCTTTTTTAGCTTAGTTGGTAGAGCGGTTCACTGGAACTTGAGAGGTCCCTGGTTCGGTACCAGGACCAGGCGGATTTTTTCGGGCGTGCTCCAGTCATTTAGCTGTTTCGGAGGTTTGTGTTTGTCCTTTGACCCCCTTGTACCCCTTTTTCTGAACTTATTTTCGTACATATTCGGGTTTCGTTTGTCGAGAGCCACGAGAAACCATCGTACCTACTACGTCAGTGATCTATCGTAGAACGTCAGCTTCACAGCTTCAGATAGCAGGCCCTGAGGCGAGACCTCAGTCCGCGCTCAAAGTGACGGCTCCCCCAAGCA